TTGTTTTAACTATCTGTTTTGTTGTATGCTGCCCAAAGTCAATTTGTGAGGTGGGCGGCTATATAAAGTTGCTAAATAATAAATAATTTATCTTACGGTATTAAGAAACAGTACTAGGAATAGTGGGGGAAGTTCTGTTGCTATCCTCTTTTCTTTAAAGCACAGGTGTCAAACTCGATCACATCATGTGACATAACGTGACTTTTGTTTGCCTTTGTCGAGTCAGGTTGAGCGTGGCTGGCGTGTGACACATCCGGCCCGTGGGCCACCAGTTTAACAGACCTGCTTTAAATTGTCATAATTTTACTAATTATACTTTGCAGCTTTAAAGTCATTATGTCGGATTAAAATTACATTACCCTGAGAGGACACTGGTGTTTGTGGGTTCAGGCACCCAATCCATCTTCTCTAGTCAAGCAATCTACAGTCTGGCTACAATTTTCAGCTTTTCCCTTCCCTATCATTTACACCAGGAAAACAGTTAAACGAAAACAAAGGCCGGCTTTATTTTTTCTACTCCTCCAAACACGGGAGCAATTATTGCAAGAACTTAGGATAGTCCTAAGAATATACACTAAGAAAGGAGAGTGTTTGTAGCTCAGGTTGAAATGAAGGGTCCTTGGTGCCCTCTGAGCTTGGCTGCTTGCTTGCAGACGTTTCATTATCCAAACTAGCTAACATCATCAATCCTCTCACACTCTTAAATACATACTTTAACTTCTGTACAGACCCCTCACATCCCGGACACAAACTGTTTCAACTCCTTCCCTCAAAATGATGCTATAGAGCAGTGGTCCCCAACCTTTTTTATGCCGCGGCCCAGTACCGGCATCAGCTGGGCGCCGCGGCCCGGTACCGGCATCAGCTGGCCGCCGCCATCTTGTTTTGATGAAAAAGTGCTTCCGGTGAGCTTTCTACCCGGAAAAGCTCACCGGAAGCACTTTTTCATCAAAACAAGATGGCGGCACCCAGCAAACCAGCGGCCCGGTAGGATTTGTTCCACGGACCCGGTGGTTGGGGACCCCTGCTATAGAGCACTGCACACCAGGACAACTAGACACAAGAAGAGTTTCCCCCCCGAACCCCATCACTCTGCTAAACAAATAATTCCTTCAACACTGTTCAACTATTTACAAAGTCTGCCCTACTATTACTGTTAATCTTCTCATCACTCCTTATCACCCATCCCCTCCCACTTGTGACTGTATGACTGTAACTATGTCGCTTGTATCCTTACAAGTTTCCTAGTGGTTGAAAGGTGTCAAAACGCCTTTCTTTCAAGGATTCGATTTTCCCGCTGGGAGAGCTCCGGCGCAAGGATACGGACAACTGCTTGAAAGCTGGATCTTTTTATTTTTCAGGAAGGCGGAGAACAGCAAGAAGTCTGCGTTCCTGGGCTAGCTAGCTTCTTATGGTAAGTCCCTGGTTTTTTATACCCTTTTCTCCCTTTGTAAGTTGATTTTGTGTGAGTGTTTGTATTTGTGCCTAATGTTTCAAATCCTGTTTGAGTTTGTCTTTATTTCCGCCGGAGGGCAAACTCCGTGGGGTGGCCAGATTGTATTATTGGTTTTCTGTAATCTCTTTTAGGTTTAAGATAGTTTTTCATATTTGTTCTGTGGCAATCTCCTGTCTGTCCCTTTTGTAATTTATATTTTGTGTCTTTTGTCTGTTTGTTTTGCTTATTGGTATGTCCTGTGTTTGTAAGGGTTTTCTAAATTATCTTTTGTTTCCTTTTCCTATTTGTCTAGTTTTCTTAATTACTTAGGCTTTTGTCTGTAGGGATTCTTTAACACTTTTTATTTGATTCCTTTTCCTATGTAAGTTTGTTTTCTGGCTGACCTGATGTTCCCCTTGGGCTTTTCCTGTTTTTGTGACACCATTGCCTTTCTGAAATTCCCTTTCCATACTACTATGATTTGATTGCTTATTGTACCCTATTTTTATTATTTATTTATTTATTTGTCAAGCAATTATAAGGTAACAGGTATAAGTATAAACATAGTTATGAATAAATGAAATGGATACATATAAGAAAAATAAAAAGAAACAATAGGACTGGGACGGTAGGCACGGTCGGTGCCTACAGACCTCTTAGGAAAGGGGTGAGGTCAATAGTAGACAGTTTAAGGTTAAAGTTTTTGGGGTTTGGGGAAGAAACCACAGAGTCAGGTAGAGTATTCCAGACATTGACCACTCTGATACATGATGATTCTTGACGAATCTATCTTTTCTTTTATGCATACAGAGAGCATATGCACCAAAGACAAATTCCTTGTGTGTGCAATCACACTTGGCCAATAAAGAATTCTATTCTATTCTATTCTATTCTATTCTATTCTATTCTATTCTATTCACTCATCCACAGTACCCGGAAAAGCGGTCTCGGAGCATGCGCTGAACGAACACTCAGCAAGCGAAAAGAAACAGGCGGAAGAGTCACCACCACGTGTAGTTTGCTCCAGGGTTTCTCAAGCTTGGCTATTTGTAAAGATGTGGACTTCAATTCCCAGAATTCCCTCAGGCTGGGCGAATTATGAGCGCTGAAGTTTCACACATCTCCAGGCTGCCAAGCCCGAGAAATACAACGCTAAATCGGCCCACCCACGAAGCACAAATCCAGCTAAGCCAGCCATTCTTCCGGATTCTCGCCTCCCCGGCGGCTAACCCTCTCTCGAAATCCCGCCCCTATTAGGCAGGCAGGCAGGCAGGCAAGCACGGGAGATAACACGGTCTTCTTGGAGACAACACGGTCTAATTGGGCTAACCTGCATTTTGGAGGGAAGGTCTTGCTGCTATTGCTGCCACTGAAAGGCCCAAATCGCGGCGAATCGAGGCGGGCACCCCACGCGTGTCCCGGCGGATCAGTGGGACGAACCCAAGCAGGCGTTGCACACACGCAACTAACCCGCCCACTGTCCGTCCTGACGTCTCCTTATTAGGGTTGATCCGGGCATTTTTCCTTGCCTGGGGTGGCGTCTGGCAGCGCTTAGGCTGCGATGCAGAAAGGAGGTGGGGGGGGGGGGTTGCAGTCGGAGGAGCTGCTTTTACGAGGCACTAAATCAGGGGTCTCCAAACTTGCCAACTTTAAGATTAGTGGACTTATTTTTTTGAGCAGTGTAGTTTACCATTGTTTTCTTTCAAGAAGTGGGATTTTTTTTAAATTTCCAATATCCAAAGCTTGCTTATCTTATAATGTGGAGAACCTAAGACTAGCAGATCTGGGCTGCAAGATTCCAGGCCTCCATGACCAGAGTTTTTTGAATGTTTACATATCATGGGTGGTTCAATTTAGCATTGTATTTCTCAGGCTTCAAGATGGCAACTTGAAGATATGTGAACTTCAACTCTCAGAATTCCCTGGGGTGTAATTCAGGGAATTCTGATAGCTCTGCAAGATCAGCCAAAAACGTCTATCTACTCAGAGATCAATAAAATAAACAGAGAGTGACTCATTGAAATCAGGGATTTACAATACTGATGCTCAAATACCTTACTTAAGTTTACTGTGCATTGATCTTTTGGCTAATACCTTGTCGTGTCTGTGTGTCTACTCAGCTTACATTTTACTCCCGTCACCTAAGAGAAAATCAGGTCTTAATGGAAACGTACCTTATGACACTATATTAGCAATAAATGACTCAAAATTGCCTTTTTAAGGAAAAATTTACCCTGTTCATGAAAGGAGATGGTTTCTATATACTTAATATTAAGGTACAGTTTCCCAGTAGCCAAATTTGGAAAGAACCCTTATCCATAGGTTCCCAATAAATCCAGTTTTCTGGATTTGCATAATTTACTAAGCAAGAAAACATATAGATTAGTTTTCATTCATGTTAACCTAAAATGAGTTTGTTAATTTGTAGTTTAGTGTATTGTTTAAATTCAGCTTTAATCTAGAAATTAATTTTCAAAAGAAAATAATTGTGGTAAACATCCTGCTAACCATAAAAAGTTTTCTATTGTAAGGGGGGTGGGGTTGTAGTTTTGTTGCCAAGGAAAAATCAGCTTAATTAAAATTAGTATTAATAGTGAAGTAGATGCAGCTGCTTAAATCCACACTAATTATAAATAGAGGTGTTTAAAAAGAGGCAGTATCTGCCTCAAGCAAGAAGAAAGTATTTGGCTGTCTAAAGACAGAGAGTAATATAAGAAGTGAGTAATTTTGGAGAGTTTTTTTTTTTAAAGTTATAAATACTAAACCTGGTTTTGGCTTACCTGACATTACCTGATAAAATAAGAATATTGTATAGTTAGCTTTATATTATAGAGAATGTTGATTTTTTTAAAAAATAGGACTAGATAATGTTTTATTTAAAATGTTGCAATATTGGCCAGAAACATTTAACCTGTTCTGTAGCAGCTAACTAATTAGCAGACTAAACTAAATATTTTATACTATACAAAGAAACCTGCTGCTTTTTAGTATCCCATTTAATACACTGCGCCAAATGGTGGTTTATTCAATAAACCATAATTAAATACAATCTGCTGGGAATACACAAACACAGCAATATCAAATAAACTGTGTTGTGGATAATGATGATGGAACCAAGAGATTTCATAGTTTTATACAGAAATAACTACAAAGCAAATTCCTAGACTATGTAATGGTTCCACTGTAAAATTGTACTGTAGTTGCTGGATTAAAGTTAAATCTTAATAATTTATTCTTGTTATACTGCAGTTGAGGCCTTTAATGTTATTCTGAAAATATTTGCAGATTTTTCCAAACTGAGTGAACCTGATAACATCAATAGCAAAGTTGTTCCATTTATCTTGATTATTTTTCAATAGAAAGATGGAAGTGCTGTTTTAAATGTAGTACTTCTTTAACAGTCTTATATAGAAATAACAGGGATGTGTATCCAAATCTTACTCATGTAATTCATGTTTAATGGCTAGTGCTTAAGTTTGTTAGCAGAATAGTCTATTAGGGTTTGTTAAATTGCAGAGTTAAATTGAAGTAATGAAGAAAAGTCATCTTTGTTTATAGGACCAGAATGTCTGGGCGTGGTAAGAAACATCCAAAGCCAGCACAGCCTGCCAAAATCTCCAAGACTAAAAAAGCTGGCTTGCAGTTTGCTGTGTCCCGAATTCACCGGTACCTCAGAAAGGGCCATTATGCTGAAAGAATAAGTGCAGGAGCCTCAGTGTACCTGGCCTCCGTCTTGGAATATCTGACTGCAGAGGTCATGGAATTAGCTGGGAATGCTGCTCATCAGAACAAGAAGAAGCGGATTGGACCACGCCATATCCAGCTGGCAATAAGGAATGATGAAGAGTTGAACAAGTTGTTTACAAATGTGACCATTCCTGAAGGAGGAGTTATCCCCAACATCCACGCCCTTCTTCTTCCTAAGAAAACATCACAGTTTAAAGAAGCCAGAGGGGATAATCAGTCCCAGGAATTCTGACACATTCTGCATCTTATCTTGCAAGAACAGACTTGTTAAAAGGGAAAGACTGAAATTGGTTCCGTTTGTAGCAGTTTCCACTGGTTATCCCCCAATTATATATGGGCCTCACAAGAGGAACAATGTCCACCTAGCTCTAATATAAATGGCTTTTAGTCCTGAATGGGGTGGAGAATTAGTGGCGCATACCTCTCTATTTCTGTACAGACTAAGTATTAGTGATCATCATTTATAGTGTTGTATGAATCTTGTTGCAGAAAGCATAGATGATGTCTTATGTTAACCTGGCTATCCTCAGGCTGGCTATCCTCAGATATGTAATTCTTCAACCTCACAACTTGAGTGGTTTTATTCCTGTTTTTTCAATAGTAAGTAAAATGATTGGTATTTGCAAAACCATTTTGATATTCACCAAGGTTTTGCCCCCATATCGGATCTTTCAAGTTACTTACTTGCAATAAGGAATTGTGAAATAGAACTGTAGTTATATTCTTCCTTGCATTTATAGTCTTAGTTTTTATGATGCTATTTAGCTTTTACTTCACGTACCTTTAGATGAGTTCCTCATCTCAGACATGTTTGTCATTGAATTGATAAAAATTCTTCTTGATTGTTGGTTTAATCTAATACAAACCCTTTATATAATGACTTCATAATTAAAAATATACCTTACTTGCAAATGTGACCAAAAAAGTTTATAACTCAAAAGCAGAGAACAGGCTTTTCGTGGCAAAGCTCCAAGTTGAATCTCTGGAATCCATTGATAAGAGTTATCAACAATGCTGGTTTAGATGGATTAATAATTTCAAATTGTGCAAATCCATAATATGGTTTGCTTGGTTCTGGTTAAGTTTGTTGTGTGAGTCCATCCCTTGTTTTTTTTAATCAAACCATGGCTTGGTATTAAGTGAACTTTCACAACATAGGCCAGCTTCCTATTTCCAGATACTTCTTTGAACTAGAGCTAGCTGCATCTATCAGTCAATGAGCAAGCATGCAGAAGTGAAGATTTTAGTAATGTTGGATTGATGGTGAATGTGTATATGTATTCTATAGATATTGAGTGCTTTCAGAATATTACTGAACTCCAAGTAACATTTGATGACACTGCTGCCATAGTTTGGAAATTAATTATAGTGTTAATATGTTAGATTCCTAATACAATTTTAAACATGTTCACTCCAATGACATATAGTTCCCAAATATATAGTTTGTAAGGTTTAAACTTCACTTCATACTTTATTTATTTGATCAAGTATTGTTAGACCCACAAGGAATATGTCTCTGATACAGAAGCACTCAGTATACTTGCACAACAATAGAATATAATAGTACTAAGTGTACAACCAATAAAAGGGATAAATAATAATACTGGGTTATACATTAGACCAAAATAGCCGCTGCATTTGGTCAGCTGCATGTTCAGCAGAGTAATGGCATGAAGGACTTTTCCTGGTGTCTAGTCTTGGCATACAATGCCCTATAGCATCATCCCAAGGGAAGTTGAAACAGCTGTATGTATGCCCATACAACTTCAATATATATATAGTGGAGAAAAATATAAAAGGAGTATTTTCCATTGCATATGGATTACCTAGCTTGAAGTTTCTTGCAAGTAAATTCTGGAACTTCCAAAACTTTTTGTGACCTGTCAGTTGAAACTAATATAATATTTGATACTCATGCTAAATTTTACTTTCCATTTTTAGTTTAGTATTTTTAACAAAATGTCGTTCTTTGGTTAACCTAAAATTGTACTTCCTCACCACTTTAAACAGGATACTTTTTCCAGCCCTTGAAAATTAAACACCTTTGTTGCCTTGTTGTCAATATCAACCTGCTGCCACACAAGACTGGAAATTTTTTTGGAGTTCTGGCTACACTTAGTCCTCAGCATACAATTGTTCATTTAGTGTCCGTTCAAAGTTACAACATCACTGAAAAAATGACATGACCCTTTTTCATACTTATAACCATTGCAGCATCCGCTTGGTCGCGTGATTAAAATTCAAAAGTTTGGCAACTGACTCATATTTATGACGGTGACAGTGTCCTGAGGTCATGATAACTTTTTACAATCTTCTGACAAGCAAGGTCAATGGGGAAGCCAAAGTTGCTTAACTGTGTTACTAACTTAACAACTGCAATGATTCATTTAACAACTATGGCAAGAAAGGTCGTAAAATGGGACAAAACCCCCTTAATAAATGTTTCACTTAGCAACATAAATTCTGGGCACAATTGTCGTATGTTGAGGACTACCTATATTTAATGGCCTCAGAATGAACTTCCTGGAATCTCCAGGTTGATGGAAGATGGGGAAGGGGGAGTGAGGCAGAGGGAATCTGTTTTCAGGAATCAGTTACATCTGAAAAGATAGGTAAACATAGTTATATAAGAATGTTGTGTTAAATATGAACTTAGTTCTTATTTCTCTGTACTATACAAAATGTACATTGAATGAAGTAAAGCATGGATGCTCATTAAAGAATGGTCCAATTTAGAAGTGAAATGAAATTTCCTGGCAATGAGAACAATCAGTGGAACAGCTTGCCTCTGGAAGTTGTGTGTGCTCCATCACTGAAGCTTTTCAACAAGAAATTCGACAGCCATTTGTCCAGAATTATAGGATCTCCTGCTTGAACAGAGGATTAGACTAGATTCTAGTCACTAGAAGATTTCCAATGTCTGTTCCTATCCCATTATTCTATGTATGTTCTATGTTTTAATGTGTAGTCCCAGCTCTGCGTTATTTCAACCTAGGCAGAAAGACACTAATTTTATATATAATCTTGGCAGAGTCTACAATATTTTCTGTCTTACAAGAAAAAAAAAATTCATTTATATGAAATGTGCAACATCGTGCGGTCAGAAGAACGGCTCCAGGATTTGGATTTGGTTAGTCTAAAGAAAAAAAGAATTAGGGGTGACATTAGCAGTATTCCAGTATTTGAGGGTCTGCCACAAAGAGGAGGTCAAATTATTCTTCAAAGCACCACAGGACAAGAAAGAATGGTTGGAAACTAACCAAAGAGAGAAGCAACCTAGAATTAAGGAGAAACTTCCTAACAGTGAGGACAATTAATCAATAGAACTGCTTGCCTCCAGAAATCATGGGCACTCCATCACTGGATGTTTTTAAGAAGAGTCTTAGTAGACAGTCACTTATCTGAAATTGTATAGTTATCCTGCTGGAGCAGGGGGCTGGACCAGAAGATCGCCAAGCCAAGGTCCCTTTTCCTGCTCATTTTATTCTAAAGTCCTAAGCACTCCTAAGCACAATTTTACTGACTTTTATCTTTCCATGATTCATCTACCTGTATGTCCCTAATGCTTGGTTTTCTTTATTTCTTTTTAGAGTAATCTGTTTCCTCAGGAGGAGAAAAAGAGCTTAACCTCTAGCCAAACAATTATAACCTATATAATTAGGAGATTTGCTTGCCTGTCTGTTCTGAAGCACCTTGTATGTATCTCCAGACTGCATTAAAGAGAAACTATGTAATTATTTTGTATTCAATAGCATTTTTGTGCAACCTAAATTAATGTCTTCAAAGAAGAATGCAAATTTCCTTTTAAGCAATCTCATTACTTTAATGTGATAGCTTTTGCCATTAAATTAGAACTTAAAATGGAAAAAGCATGATAAATTGGATTGTAACACAGTGAATATCCATTTTTATTCACTTCTATCTTCTAAATTTCATATTATTCGGGTTAGCCAACTTTAAATTTGAGTTTTAGTTCTGAGTAATTTGTTGTATAGGTCATATGCAAATCTTTATAATCATTAATTTGGAAATGAAGAGAAGGTGAAAAGATTGTCTATGAGCACTTACACAAATGTTTCAAACAAATTTATTGTATGTGACTTCACATGATACAGAACAATTTTCCTTAATATTCATAGACATACATCTGTTTTCATAGTATAAAGTAACGGAGCAAGTCAGGCAAACATGGATATATCTTCTGTAGAAATCTGAAAAAAAAATACATTTTAAAATATGTTCAGTCTTTAGAGGAATAGAAGGACTTAAAATGTGATCCAAACACACTTCCATATCAAAAAGTACCATTATTTACTGTGGGAATTTCTGATGAAGTATTAATTTGTATTAAAGATTGTGACATGCATATGAAGGAGAGATTAGCCTGGGAATCATAAAGCTAAGCTGAAATCAAACCATATTATTTTTTAATGTTATTTGGGATTGAAACCAGTAATTCAGTCATTTAATTTTATGACTGTTCTAGTAGACATATTACTACAAAAAAATAAGGGTTAATAATATATAATAGGCATAAATATTTTATGTGAAATAGTTTATAGCTCAAACAAGTAATCTCTAATAAATGAGGGATTTGAAAACCCCTAAACCTTGAGCCACATTTATCCTATATTGCTTTTGGAAACGGTCCATGTTTCCAACAATTAGTTTTAGGAAGAAAATAATAATTTAACATCAATAAAGTAAATAGGGCTTTCTTCAAATGAAGCTCAACTCCTGATGACTTGATAACATATCAATGCAGCATTTGTAGCTACCATAAGGCATAGGAGCTTTTAGAAACCCTGTTTTCTACAGACTAAAGCTACTCAGTAGTAAGTACACATTACAAAACACAAACTCAATAAAAGATTATGAGTGTAGAGTTATCCATTGAGGAATGAATGAATGAATGTTGTGAAGTGTAACAAAGGCAGCATGTTGCACTGTTAGCTAAAGCAAAGAGAAGCATAGCAATGCCTACAGCTCTTCCTGATGAATAAGACAGACATAAGCAACATGAATAATACCTTTATAGGTAGGAACTGCCTTAATATGTATGATCATATAGATCCTACAGATGATGCTATTAAAGATGATTAATGCAGGACAAATATAATGGCCCATGAAAATGCTACAAGGATTAAATAAATACATAACAATTTGTTATCATAATCTTATGACATTTCTAAGGACAGAAAATGTGTTACTATATAAATAAATATTATTCTTATAAATAAATAAAAATCACCTTCTAGTGGCCTATTTGTCATCTGTATCAACAGTTCTGCCATTTCTAGGCTGAAAATGAATAATAAGATGGTGCTTGATAGTATTCCTTACGAGATACCAGTGGGAAAAAACCTTTGTACTAAGTTTGCAATAAAATTAGGCACTAGGTAATTAGCAATATCAATAACACATAGACTTATATACCGCTTCACAGGGCTTTACAGCCCTTTCTAAGCAGTTTACAAAGTCAGCATATTGTCCCCAACAATTTGGGTCCTCATTTTACCAATCTTGGTAGGCTGGAAGGCTGAGTTAGCCAGTGAGAATTAAACTGCCAAATTAGTAAGAAAGATGGGCCTATGCTTCAATTAATCCCTCCTTCACTATCCTATTGCATACTTCCTGCCCATCTCAACATCTTTGATTCCACTGAAGTAATGAGAATGCAATATTAGGACTGAGCTAGTACAATGTAATAGCTTGATTTTGACTTCTTCCTCAGTCAAGTTCAAAGGAGAGACTGTTAGGAATATGAGTCACCTAACAGCTATTTGGGTTAGAAATATATAAACCAGGATAAACATTTTAAAACTGTATCTTTAAGAAAATGCAAAACTGTAATTAGGTGTGGTTTCTCAAATGGTCATAAGATGGAGCCAGAAACCTGGTTTGTCTTGGTCTGAGTCTCAGAAGAGAGTGTGAGTGTATCTCTGTTTCCTTCTGTTGGAAAGAGTTGCCGTTCCTCCATTTTTCCTAATTGACTGCTATTTCTGGATTTGATGTAAGTTTGTTACTGAACTGTTTTTGACACTGGACTTTGTTATTGAATTATCCCTGGATTGAAAAAACTGACTGATTTACCTGTGAATGATTTTGGACTGCTTATCTTGAACTTTGCTTAAACTTTCTGGAAGTAAAAACCTACATTTACTGTACAGTGTATCTGTGTACTGTGTGTGTATTATTCAAACACTACTCTCTATACGTCGCCCTGTATGCGCTCATTTTCCTAAAGGGGAATTACCTCAACAGAGACTACTAAACTTAATTATATTTTGCTATTATGCACAGAAATATTTTAATTGGTTTTATTAGGCTATTTTATTCCTCATTAAGCTTTTAATTAGTATACTATCCTAGCTTTTTAATTTTGGGGAACAGAAATTCATTTGTGTAGGGTTTATAAAGGCTTGTTATAACCTATAAATCTGATCTCCATTTTTTAAATAACAAAATAGCTGTAAATCAAATGAAGTTTCTTCTTACAAGGAAATGGAAAAATTAATACCCTGAAAAGAAATAAGGATCGTCCTAAATCATCCAAACCATCCTGTAAAATAAATAAGAGAAATTTAATAAAATACTTCAAAACTCAATATAAATGAACAGTTCTCAACAGTTCTGTGTGTGACAAAAACATGAAGTTGTAAGTCATCTCTCTCTGTCTCTTTCTCCTACCCTCCCTCCCTCTCCCTCCTTCCCTCCATTCCCCCTCCCTTCTCTCTCCAAAATGAAATGCTCTTTTTGAAATTTGCCCAGATGGTTGTGGTGATTGCCATCAGGGATTCTCTTATGGCTTTCAGAGGCCCTGCCCTACAGGTCCCTGATTGTGAGCTCCCGTTCTTTAAGCAAGGCTCTGGCAATTCGTTGGCAATGTTGCTGTTGTACCAAACTGCCTGCTGCATAACAAATTCCATGCCTGATTTCTTTGACTCCATTTCTGGGTTGGCAGTGGAATTCCTCAGACTTATGATTCTGTGGGACTTAATTTGCCTTCCCAAGGAATGGAGTATGAGGTGGCTCAAGAATTCATAGCTTCACAGTAGCCACAGTTATGGGTGCTCCTAGAACAGTGCATATTACATTGCATTAGTTGCCAGTTTGGTTCCGGGTCCTATTGAAGGTGCTTGATTTAACCTTTAAAGCTCTTCATGGCATGGGCTGGGCTATCTGACAGACTACATCTCCCCAGTTAGTTCAGCTTGTCCTATTAGAACAGTCAGAGAAAGAATGCCGCAGTTACCATCAGCTAGGGATTTACATTTTGTGGGTCCCAGGAGATGTGCCATCTCTGCCATGGTGCTCATTTTAATGGACTATTCTTCCAAAATTAGATTAGTTCTCTTTTGATATTCCAGAAGGCCCTCAAGACCTGATCATGTTAGGTCTGGTTATGTTAGGAATGGGAAATTTGCTTAGATGGCTCCATTGTTGAAGTGACTATTTTTATTTTTTCTTGGCTTAGGAGTTTGTATATTTGTATTATATTATTTATTAATTGATGTAGATTTTTAATTTTTTTATGTCTTACTTTTATATTTGTGGCTTTTATCTGATTGTTGTGGGACATCCAGAGTAATTTTCTGTGAGATTAGTGGCTATACTGATTTGATTAATAAATAATATATATGTACACCCACACATGTATATATCTAGAATGAGAACAAAAACTAAGTTAATACCGTACTTAATATAATTGCTCCCTATTTAGCTAATATTTTTCTCTCTGACATATTTAAAATTACAAATAGTTCAGAGGAGGTGAAAGTTGTACAGACATTTTAGAGCTGCAAGTCTTCACCTAATAGCCCAAGGCCATAGTATATGCACACAAACCAATGGGCTGTGAGATATAATAGATGGTATAAGATTTAGAGGTCTCACATGCAATACAAAGCATGGTTCCTGGCATCTGTATCTTTAATTTGCTGATTGTGATCAATCACTCCAAATCCCCATCAAAAGGTTGGGAATTGGCAGTAATATTCATATATAAGGGTAAGATCTGCATTTTTAACATTACCTTTTTCATGAATTCTGCTGCAGCAATTTGCAATTCCTGCAAGACATGTGAATTTCATTAGCTAAATGCCCCCAATTTGTATCCTGTTAATAGTTGTTAGTAGATTGTTCCATTGTACTGTATTAAACAAAGAGCATTCAAAAAACCAAAAATGGCGATGTTTGAAACAGAGAATAATAAACATCTTTAATTTATTGGAAATAAAAGTCTATGCTACAGACAGAAAACATGCTATGGCCACTTAAACCAAAATAAAACAGACATGCTCCTGAACATAATAAAAATCTCAATAGCAGTCATATTTTATACTTTTTATTTGTGCTAGGACTTTTGCCCTATTTCTCTCTTTTTTATTATTTACTGAATTTTAACCCAGCCACAAGTTATAATTAATCATTTTTATTTATTGAACTGGTTGCCAGTTGATAATCATTACAATTCACTTTAGATATATATTCCATTATATCATGTTAATACAGGGTATTATGCTCCTGTGCCAACAAACAGAATAGAATATGGGCAATATTTGGATTTGAAGCCAAAAGCATGAAGATACAACCAGTATCAAGAGTTGCCCACTATTCATAACAGGAGTATCTACATTTATTGTTGTGACTGAGTTTAAATAAACAGCAAAGTGCAATATGAGAAAGACTGATTAAGACAGAAAGGATGGAATGTAGAAAGAAAAATATCAGAGAAAAGAAGGGAAGGGGAATAGTATTTTTTTTAGTAATTGCTCACAAGCTGATCACTTGACACAATGACTTTAAAAAGGTTGAAATGTAAATTAAGACGCAAAATAATATGGAATATCTGAATGCATACTGGATTAAGGAATCTTTTCTTTCTTCTGTCCGACAGCTTTGGAGCAAGGTTCATTAAAGGATGTAGAGGAAATGACTATAACAAAAAATATTGTGAATGCTACTTTAGCTATTAGAATAAGTAGTATCTAAAATCTAGATACCAACTAACTGGTTTGATGCATGAATATTTCTAATGTAATCATCCATAAATTGGAGACTTTTAGAGGTCTGACTGGGACAAGAGTTGCATGTGGATAATTTTGAGCCCACCTGAGGATAAAGTTGCATATTATTTCAAGTCTGGATGCCTTTTTTGTGCTTTGTTTCTATCTATCTCACCCACATTTGCTCTGCCTTTAGCTGAACCACTTGAAAATTTACGTAAGGTAAGTCTCTATTGCTTCTCTTGTCACCAGCAATCTTTTATTATTGACATATTAATGATATGTCAATAATAAAAGAATATGATATAGGTAGTGACTGATAATATTGAATGTATATGGATACAATTATGAATCATCGAGAAGGAGAATCTAAAGAACTTCTTGAACAGGAGGCAAGGGGCTTTGTTTTGCATATTATATTACAGAAAGCTTTTGATAAGGAGAAATTTATGCCATTGTTTGTAATCCGAAATCCATTTGGCTCATGAAACTAATGCTTTGATTTTGTTTAAAATCCTGAAATTAGAATATACATTACAGAAGACATCAAGCATCTGCAGCATACCAAGCGTTCATCAAAATAATGAAAAATGCATTCTGCCATCACAAGAAAAGCCCTTTCCTTTGCTTACCCACAGACAACACCAAAACTTGGATTAAAAGGACAAAGAGTTTGCATTGCAATGTCACAATACCCATTCTGTATGGTAATTTGCCCTCTCTTTAAAAATATCCATGGAAGATCCTTTTCATTTTGCTTTATTGACATGTTGCTTAAAGAAATTATAAATACACTGAAGAGATATGTGTTATTTTACATACGTTTGTCTACTCTTTTGTATATTAAAAATGTATAACAAATGAATATGTTAAAGTACTAACCTCAGTTTTAAGTGGATATGTTGGGTCTCGAGCTCTAGAGTAGTGAAATAAAAACTGAATAAAAAAGAGCTATTTTAGTATCTTATAGTTTCAATTAAAATATTATGCATATCAATTCTATTTAAAAACTAATAATACTCACTCTTTTATACAATTCCTGATTATTTTCCTAAGAAGGACAATTATGGTCATATTAGATTAATAATAACTATTACCAACAAAATATTATGATACCGTTGCAAGAAGAACAATCACCTTACCTCATCTATCTGCAGGCTGTCAAACATGGAGTTACAAAAATCCAAAAATGCACTGGAAATCTGGAGGGAAAATGTATTTCAAAAATAATTCTGCTGTTGATATTATTTGGCCTCAATTTTCCCTGAAATACTACCATCCATCCATGATAGCTAGAAATTTTGAGAATTATTGTCCAAACTGATGAAGTGAGAGTTCTTCAGGATGATTATGATATATTATTATAGATGTAAGCTTTAAAAAATAATACAAATAACTTTTAAACTAATTGTAATGACATGAGTGCTAAATTAATATATTAATAAGAGTAGTAAAATACTAAACATTTATATTATTTTTGATAATTCTCACAGCTGCTTATTAGTAAATATTTGCCATTTTCTACATTTATTGCATCACTTATGAACATAACATTATAAAAAAGTTTTATGAAGCAACAGTTCAAAATGTGAAACACATTAATTATTCATTTCTCACCTATGGCATGATCACTATAAAAATAGACTGGAATGTTAAAACATACTAGCAGAATATAAAGGTTTACAACAGATCACTTTACAGATGTATGATCTATAAAGTAGCCAAAGAGAATCAAAGAAGAGTTGAAAGTAAATCAAAAACTTTTAATAAATACTTTTAAATATAAAATTACTTTTTATACTCACAGACACTAAGACTAAATGTTAGATTATTCCTTATGTTGTTATTTTCACACTGCTTCTTTTATGTGGAGTTGTGGTTCCAACCATGTTATTTGATTAGATATATATATATCCATATCCAAATAGTAGATAGGCTGGGAAGTGTAGTTAGTTAATATGAACTAATTATATGTGTATGGATATGTTGTGAAATACAGCAATTTTACTGAAAATTGCTTAAGAAAAAACAAGAGCTTAATTTTCAGTATTAGAGAAGGACAAATTTACATGAATTATTTGCTTGAAAGAGGTTTTTAGAAAAATAAAATAAAATATATGGGTGAATATGTACACATTTTTGAAGCATCTACAACATTGATGATTACTCTATAGTTCTACTAATTACACATTTTTACCTGAGGTTGTTCAAACAGTTCTGTCCACTGACTAAAACAAAGTGCCAATTGCTAGAGCAAAAGCAGAAAAAAGAGAAACTTCTAATCAATTTAAAAATATGTACAAAATATTGATATTTACAAGCTCAAACATTAGTTCATATATGCAGTCCACATTTGTATATTTTGCTCCTATAACAATTCATTTATTTACATGCATTTGCATACAACAAACACTACTGTATATGGTCTTTCTTCTATAACTTCAGTAGATTTTATATTTTCCAGGGAAGTATTATTATTTATATTTTTCTAGCAGATACATAGAAAATATGTTAAATGTTATGTACCTCATTTTTAGGAACATTTGATTCATCCACATAGCTGGCAAAAGTCTGAGGAAATCCTGTTAAAGTGAAATAATAGATAAGCATTTGATGTAGTAAAGCATGACTGATTTAATCTGAATTAACATAAAGAAAATGCATACACTCCTGAAAAAAACTTTTATGTAATAGATCAAACAAAATCCTCTGATAAGAGAATCATATCACTTCCTTTCCTATAACTTTAGATTTGAATTTAGCATTTAAAAAGTTCATTCTGCAATTAACTCTCATCCTCAATTGTAAAAGAACAAAAACCTTTATATTGGGAATACAGAAATAAGCCAATATTATGTAACTGAGAAGGAACAAGAAAAAGAGAATACATCCTCACATATGAATGCATACTGACTTTAAAGAGTTACTTGTGATTTGATTTTAATTAATTAATTTTCATGAATTGTTTCAACCAAAACTTTTATCTACAAAGTTCTCCATAGAAAAGGAAATGGCTGTCATGTTCTATTCAGAATCTTGGATAGCTCAGAAATATAGAAAGTTATAGGAAGTCTGCAGCCAAAGTTTAGAATATCTCTCTGTCTCTGTCTCTGTCTCTCTCTTTGTCTCTCTCTCTCCCCCCCCCCTCCATTAGCCAACTAAGAATGTGACAGTTCACTTGCACTGAATTTGTGCAAAGAAAAGGAGGAAATGCAAAGCCTGTTAATCATGCTTAATCCATTGACTGAAAAATACTAAAAGTGCTAAATATGAATCAAGGAAAATCACTATTTCATTTATTCAGCACAAGAGTTGTATTTCTTATGGTAAAGTTCTTAAAACAAGAATTCCATTTTAGGTCTTTGACTTCTAAAGTTTATAGAAACAAGAAACACACCATACACAGACAGGATATCTACAAAGTGGTTTTAATTTGTACAGTAAATCACTCATAGAATTGGGGCACAAACATCTTAAATAATTATGGAGTAAGAATGATTCTTACCGGAACTGAATTGTCCTGTGCAAAAGCAGATTACAAAGAACAAAGGGAAAGGACGAAATGACTGTTTCATTTTCATCCACCAAATCAAACCCAAACTTTTCTGTATCACCAATTAAAGTTCACAAAGCAGCCAAGTTGCTACTAACCTTTCTATGCCTAGTCTAAACTCGAGAGGCATTTTTATTTGCAACACTGAAGAAAGAACCAATCAGTGCCTCACAGTATCCTCATTTTCTCATTAAGCTTCATGCTGTGTCTTTATTTAAGAGGCAAAGTTTCCTCCCATCAATTCTCAGCAAGTCTACCAATTAGTTAGATCTTTATACACAGAATGAAAGTTCTTTAAAAGAACAGAGAGGCTAGGGGGACTAGGACATAGCCAGGTGAGAAAGGGAAATGCCTCAAAAAATTTCTGGTGAAATAGTGTGGCTGAAATAAACAGTCCTAGCAGGAAAATTGGATACAGACTTAATCATACTTCCAACAGACACTGAAATTAGTTTCTATATTGGTAGTAATAAAGTTCCAATTATTTCAATGGTTCTCAACTAAATATAAATAATTATGAATCTAACCCAGGATTGGTTGGATAATCTTCTCACGTAGACACACACATACCTAGACATGATTTTATTTCAGTTAAAGATCTTGAAAGGAATAAAGAGGGGGAGGACAATATAAATCAGTTACATTGTCCTTTTAGCTATATCTTTAATTTAGAAACAATCTGAATATTAGAATTAGTCTTAGACAATAAACAGACAAAATAAACATAAAATAAACAATAAATTTTAATAGATGATTCATTCTGAAATTCATATCAATAGAGAAATACAGTGTTTTTAAAACCTGTTATTAATTCTACTTTAAGGTTACTAAGGGTTTTATCAGTATAAGAGTCCCCAAACTTGGCAACTTTAAGACTTGTGGAGTTGAAGCCCACAAGTCTTAAAGTTGCCAAGTTTGGAGACCTCTGATATAGTATATAGCAATAGGGTGTTTTACAGCCCTCTCTCAGCAATTTACAGAGTCAGCATATTGCCTCCAGCAATCTGAGTCCTCATTTTACTGACCTCGGAAGGATGGAAGGCTGAGTCAACCTTGAGCCAGTGAGAATCGAACTGCCAAACTGCAGTCAGCAGAAGTAGGCTGCAGTGCTGCATTCTAATCACTGTGCCACTATGGCTTGTATGTTAAAAAAGCAAAAAGGAAGCAAGTTATTTTATTTGTAATTCAACAGGTATATCTCATTGATATGGAATTGGACATATGGAGTTCTACTAGTGAAATGGGAAGCATATACATTTAATAAATAAATTAAAAAGTACATTAAATTTGACAACTCGATTCTTTTAATAGTTTAATCTTTAGACTTAAAGAAATAGAATGACTATGGATGGGCAAAAAAGCAGTGGTAGAAGGAGTTGACTTCTCACTTCTGCCAGCTTCCCCAATGACTTTGTGGGAAGCTTTCAGGGAATGTCAGAAATGACAATTACGTTACTATGGCTAACTGTGGCAATGCTGCAACAGCCAGACTTTTGTGAATACATCTGATGTAAAGATCCTTGAAATTTCAATTACACAGGAGTAAGGAATCCCATATTTTATGCCCATTCTTTATATTAGCAGATCTGAAGTACTTTGATTCAAATATTTTTGTGTTGGGATGCTAATTGAAGGTTACAACCAGACAGGCAGACATTTTAGTGCCATATAGATAAGAATCATGCTTCGTGCTACTTGGTAGACTCCAAATAATGACCTCTTTGTTAATTTGCCCATGCAATAAGGTAATGGTTCAGACTTATATGCCACCCATCTTCTTAGGGTTTTCTAAGTTGCTTATAATCATAAGAACAAGCTAAAATATTAAAATTTTAAATTAATATTGACACTATAATAGTTTTAAAACTAACAAGATTGGAAGGAAGTGACATGCACACGGGGCGGAGGTGGAATCTTATCTTAGTCTATTAACCATGCATAAAGATAGAAATATTTCATATTATTATTGTGGATGAATTGGTGAAATTGACAGAATTTGCTGATAGGCAAACTGACTTTTTGCTTAGAGAAAGGTCACTATTGACATATGGACATTTTGCATAAGAAAGAAAATGATGTTGTGACTTATGGCTTTGATGATTAGAAAGGTTACAGAAAGAAGGAAATTGTGATGAAATCTTGGAGTAGTTTGATTAGAATTGTATATGTAACTGCCAAGAACAATTAATGAATGAACATGTATGTATACACATACATACGTTTTATTTTATTTTTTCTATCTTCTTTTATTAAGATATCTGTATTCTTTATTGCAAAGCTCTTGGAAATTGCTAACAATTGCTAATTGTTTATTTAAAAAGACATTGTTTATAAAAATAACCTGAGGTTTAGAATCTTAAAAACATTTTCCAATAGCTTATTAATTTTGGGGTTTTCTAAGTTGCTAACATAACAGCTCCAAATTGTGAAGAATTACTTAGTTGTTGGCTGTTTGGCAGATTAATGCACCCATTGAACAATTAGTAACAATAACTGACTTAGCTATCAAAACCCTTTTCCATTAAGATTCTCCAAAAATAGAAAATCACCTGCAATCTTTAAACTGGAATTATCCCAAACCATCAGTTATATACGTGAATGGGAAACAAATTTAAACTTTCCTCCCAAATCATTTTTTTGTGTCTAGCATCTGTCAATGCTGAAAAAACAGGTACTGTGTACACCTCAGCTAACCGAGATGGGAGTGGATCATAACTTTCCAGCTCAGCTTTCAAAACATAAGTTACGGTAGGGTCCACAATGAAACGGATATCAAACTATAGGCCCGATACAGAAGCCGCAAGATTGTGGTTAACTAAACGCAACACAATTCCAGGCTTCTATACTAAAAGCCTGCAGGAATCACTCTTGAGGCGCGTAATAAGCGCCATTTATGAGGAAAGCTGTTATTGGTCAGCCTTCGCTTCAGTACCAAACGAAACCGCCGTTTAAGTGATATTTGTCTCCAGCCTGCCTCCGTCCAGATGGCGATACAGTATTTGAATAAGCTCTCTTCCTTCCGAGTTTCCACTGAATAGGGTGCTGGGTTTTCCACTTTGCTCCGCCCGCCCTTTCGAGGCTGAGTCAGCGCAGCTCCCCAAGACGTTTCCCTCCTCCCGCCGGGAGCCCCATCTGGTTGACGGCAGCCTTCTCCCTCCTCCCGCTTTTCTCTTCCTTCCCTGCCTCCTCAGAGGCCAGCCTGCCTGCCCCGGGAGGCAGCGCAGACGAGGGTGCAACGGAGCTAGTTTGGAGGCAGTGAGGAAATGGAGGCAGTGGTTGGTGGCGTTTCAGCGCGGCCAGGCAACCGGCGCTAAAGGGAGCACCCGGGCGGGTGGCCTTGTTGCTGCTGGAAGCCGCGGAGGCGAGGCGAGCCGAGCCAAGGGCGATGCAGCCTACCTTGGCTGTCCCTCTGGTCGGCTGAAGTGAGGCTCTTTCGGTGGCTCGGCCGATAAAACTATCGGGGCGGCCCTGGAAAAAGTCGACGCGCACAATGCGCGAGGCGGACGCGGCGCTGCGTTGCTGAGCAACTGCGGCCCGGGAAAGAGGCTTTTCAGCACGCGATCCCCGGCGGCGACAGGAGCCCAGCTGCGATGTAACCCAAGAGAGGCGCGTTGCACGAAGGCCTCTTTCCAGAAGCGCTGGCCTTCGGCCAATAAATGATTCCTCTTGGACCCCAAAGCGATTGGTTCGGTTGACACGAGTAAGTACTGGCTTCTCAAGCTCCGTATGCAGCGGAGGGAGCGGGTGGCGGGCATAATGAGAGGTTAAGTCGCCTGGGAGCAGGCAGTTAACACCAACATCGGTGTCTTTGCGTCACACGCTTACTGTGGACTCAATCACTGCTTTCTCAACCTAGTTTTCTGAATTCCCGTAATACCACCAACTGTCCACGTGGTCTGGGTTTAAGCAACATATTAGATGAAAACCTTTGTGGTTCAGAGAATGCAACTGATTCTTGAATTTAAAGAATTCAAGAAACTTGCTATAATAATGACATAAATGTCATTGCCTAAATATGCAGTTGAAATA